GGGATTTTTTTTTACTTTGCCTCCCTAACCTGTAGAGAGCCTCTAAAATGGGTTGATTGTGATGCAAACAGATAAACTTATTTTTTTGCTCACTCATTTTGAATTTGATGCTGCAACAGGTTCCATAAAAACTGGAACAGGGTCATGTTTCCCTCTGTGCTCCATCAGCTTTCCTTTTAACAACACTCAATAAGTGTTTGTGAACTGAGGACTCTTAAGTGTTAAAGCTGTAGGTGAATTCTTTCATTCTTGCTTGATGTCTTCAGGGGTCTCTTCATAATGCTCCACACATTTTCAATGGAGACAGGTGTGGACTGCAGGCGGCTCAGTCTAGTTCCTGCAGTCTTTTACTCTGAAGCCACACTGTTGGAACACGTGCAGAATATGTCTTCATTGTCTTGTTGAAATCAGCAGGACGTCTCTGAAAAAGACGTGTCTTGGATGGCAGCATGTTGCTCCAACCTGGATGTAGCTTTCAGCTTTAATGAAGCCTTCACAGATGTGACAGTAAAGGCTGAGTCACACTACAAGATTTTAAACCAGTCGGCCGATTTTCAAAGACTGATAGAGCCACACGTTAGGATAAAAAATCATGGATCTACCAGGTTTGGTCCTACAGTGTGTGGTGTACAGCCACACAGCAAGAGACAACACACCACACACGAAAAGATATTTCATTCAGATTTTAAATCACGAGAGACTTTCTAAAATCCCACGAGAATTCATACGTCTGAGAAAAAAATCTCATGTGACCTCCAGAGACGTGAGTTCAGAGTAAATAAACATTTGCAACAAGGAAGAAACAATGTTGATCATTTGTGAACTATTTTTTACCAGAGGAAAAACATTTTCACAGGACTTTTAACATCCAGCAGACTTTCTGGTGAGTCATGACAGTTTTTTGTCTTCTGTATTTTGGAATCCCCTCTGTGTTTACATCACCTCACTTTCTGATTGGCTACACGTCTCATTCAACAGGCTGAGAGCTCAGGTGAACACTACACACACTGTGATATCGGGCCAAAAAATCAAACATGTTGGATAGCCCCGATTTGAGGTCGGAGCGGTCCCGACGTCCGAGCTCACTAGATCACTCTTAACTCACCACCCACGGCAGGAGTATCTGCTCAGATTATCTTTAGAGCCATCATGATAATCTGGACTTCCTTAAGATTGTTGGAAGGTAAAAATCTGCATGATTTTCTTGTAGTGTGATGCAGGCCTCACCCATACCATGGGCACTAATACACATCCATACCATCAGAGAGGCTGGCTTGTGAACTTTGTCCTGACAACAATCCAGACAGTTCTTTTCCTCTTTGTCCTGGAGGACAGCAGGTCCATGATTTCTAAAAAGCAGTTAGAAATGTGGACTGGTCAGACCACAGGACACTTTCCACTTTGAGTCAGTCCATCTCAGATGAGCTCAGGTCCAGAGAGGGTTTCTGGGTGTCGTTGATATCTTTGTCTTTGCATGATAGAGCTTTAACTTGTAGATGTAGAGCTGAACTGTGTTCGCTGACAGGTTTTCTGAAGTCTTCCTGAGCCCATGAGTTAAAATCTGTTACAGAATGATGCAGCCTAATCTGTAAATTACTTGTAATTTTACATTGAGAAATGTGTTTAAACTGCTGGACTATTTGTTCACACAGTTGTTCACAAAGTGGTGAACCTCACCCCAGCCATGCTTGTGAACGACTGAGCCTTTCAGGGATGCTCACTTTATACCCAATCATAAGACTCACCTGTTTCCAATTAACCTGTTCATTTTGTGCATTCTTCAACTTTCCCAGTCTTTTGTTGACCCTGTACTTTATTCAGTCGAATATAGGTTGAAAAAGATTCGCAAATCATCATCTTGTGCTTTTATTTCTTTTTCACAATGTTCCGACTTCACTGACATTGGAGTTGTAGATGTAGAAACCTGTTTCCTCTAAGATGAAGGGAAACCATAGTGGTCTCCCTAATTAGCCAGCAGCACGCTGTGCAAATTCTGCTTCTATCTGTAGCTGAGCTGTTACAGATGGATGAGTGATCTATTAACTCAATCTCCCATTAATGACACACAAAAAGCCAAGGACACTCTGTATTGTAATTACAGTCTGCCACCAGAACAGAGCCTCGTCTCTTGGAAAGAGCTCCACTGTTGTTCCACACAAGACACGCTGTTTGTTTTAGCCTCTCACACACTCCTTCCACACCATTATCAACAACTTGTGAGCAAATGGTGCACAGCAGGCACCGTGTCAAGTCTCCATGAAGAAAGTGTAATTGTTTCAGTGATTATGTGCAAACAGCAACAGAACAATGGGAGCCAGCGTGGCCACAGCTGTAAAGTGAGACCCTTGAAAGAGGTCAGGTCCCTCTGAGGGACGATAAACCCGCTGGACCGCCAGCCAGGAGAAACCGGACTGATACCGTGACACTTGGCAAACAATGATCCGTCTCCGATTGTCTAAAGAGAAACCATGAAGGGTTTGACAAATATCAGCTCAGAGATTGTGTTTTGTGTTAGTGCAACACCCATCCTGCTGCTTTCCCTTTACTGCCGGCATATATTTAAAGTTATTTGGACCTACATATGAGTCTGTTGGTTTTTTTAAAGTTTACCTGCTGTTTATGCATTCAATATTCATGTATTTTGAACATTCTTTATTTAAGAATATGCATAGCAGAGCTCCAGTTCTACTGTTTGTTTATGTTCTGTCTTCTTCTGAATGGGCGTTCAGAACTGTAATTTCATTGTGCTCTGTATGATGACAATAATTATCTTATCTTATCTTATCTTATCTTATCTTATCTTATCTTATCTTATCTTATCTTATCTTATCTTATCTTATCTATACTTACACATACTCTCTTAATACAAATAAAAATAAAATAAAAGTTAGTGTCTCAACAAGCCTTTAAAGGGGCAATATCATGTAAAATCAACTTTTTTGAGTTTTATATCATGTTATAATGTTATCCTCTCATAAAGAACATGTCCAAAGCCTTGCTTTGACTCATTCATGCATGTTTGAGGAAATCCTGCAGCGTTTTTAGGAAGCCATGCTGAGGAGCAAAACGACAGGTGGGTACCAGAAACGCCCCTGGGATGTGTCTTTAAGCCAAACTTCCTCGTGGCAGAGCGCACCCCCTCCCCCCTCCCCACACACCTCGCCCATGACT